GTCCCCTGAAGAGGGGTCCTGAATTTTCAGCTTGTTTCCTAGAGTGCTGGGTTTTCTTTCCTCCCCGGTAGTAAACATGGGCACTCAAGGTCTTTTTTTTTTTTTTTTAAATAATTAAATAAACAAAACACCAACACAGTCTCACATAAGGAGGAATATTTCTGATCAGGTAAAATCCTAGTGCCTTCTGCAAAGTTCTATTCCTCAGAGCCTGGCTTGAGACATGGTGTTTTCTTATCCAACCAGCTCCTCTGAGCACAGTGATGAGCAAGCTGTCACCTGACTCAGGACTGATCTTTGAAGACACATTTAGCAAACAGAAGGAAGAGTTTGTATATCTCCTGAACTCAAAGAAGCTTTTGACTTCATGGCATCTGAATGTCTCAAACGCTGAGGAAAAATAGAGATTTCAAGCCTTGTGTTCTTTCAGCTAGTTACCAAAAGGAAGCATGCCATGGGGCTGGTTTCACAGAATCATTTAGGTTGGAAAAGACCTCTGAGATCATCAAGTCCAAGCTTTGACTGATCACCACCTTATCAACTAGACCATGGCATTAAGTGCCACATCTGATCGTTTTTTGAATACAAAAAACTATAAACTTGAGGATGATGTAAGTACACACTGTGCCTTTGCACCTCTGGTATCTCAGATATCTGTTTTGTGGACCTCCTGTCGGGAAGCGAATACATAAATACATGAAAATAAAGAAACACAAGGTCAAGAGAGGAGCCACAAAAGCAGCACTGAGAGTGTCATTTTCCCAAACAGCAAAGCTCTGTCACTCCCTGCAGGTTTCAGTGACCTAAATAGAGGAGGACAACAAGATTCCTTGTTCCTGCCTATAGATTTAGCAAGTCTAATGCTCAGTAAAACAAAGTGGTTGTAGAAAAGTATCTACAGTTCTGGGAAATATGATGGGAGGAAATACAAGATCTGATAAAAAGTTTTACTTTAGGTTACTGGACCGCATACATATAAACTTCTTCATCTAGTGGAGTACAAACATACTCAGCAATGTACATACTAGAACTGAAAGTCTGCTGTTCTACTATAGTGGGTAAAACTATGTATGTGGTCAGCGGAAGTCAGCTGGAGCTAAAATCTGTGACAAGTCAGGACAAACTGTGTCCCAGGAGTAGGTTTTTCCTTGGAAGGCAATATTGAAGATCACAGCTTTATGGGTAATCCCTCAGCACGAGATAGCAGGCAAGCACTGGCTAACAGTGTTGTCCTCCTTGGAAATAACTACTTCTGTGGGAAAGGGTCAATATCCCACCAATGAGGCAAAGAAGATTTATTATATTCACTCTCCCCGTTAGGAAGCAGATGGCTTTCATATTTCATCTTGTAGCTGAGGATTTTTAGAATGAGCTGCTTCATGGGAAAGAAATGAGGGGGAACAGCATTAGTAGGAGCTATGTTTACTAAGCAATTACAGGGCAAGGGCATCTACTATAGCAACTGGAGACAGGGTCTAAACATTCTGAGATGCATGTGCAAACAGAAAAGCAGCTCTTTGCTCCATAGGGCAGGAGCAAATGTGTCACCTTGCCAAAAGACACAATTCAAAGTTTTCCATAGACACAAGGAGGTAGCACTTAAGTCTTCAGAACAATACAGTAGTGCTCATTTTCCACCTCATATAACAAAGCAAGCAATTACAGTCTTCACTAGCTGGTATTTCTAAATGCGGTTCAACTCTCAAAGCACTCATGGAATATTTTCCTTAAAGCTACCAGGAGTGCCTTAATCTAACATTTTAGAATCAGCTCAGTTCAGCTTTGAATAGCTGGGTTCAGTTTCCATCTTTCATAAGAGTTAATTGTCTCTCTTTCTGTACAAGTTCTACACTGAGCTACTGTCACAGCATGTGTGAATGATTCATGATGATTTGCCCACATGGCCTCTGGCCTCCTGCTAGAGGCAACTGAGGGAAAAAAACCTCACAAAACCCCCACCACAACTACAGCACTCCCCCCCCCCCAAACTTCCTTCTCTTTAGAACATCATTTATTGTTGTTACTCACCTTTAGTAAAAGGAAAGACAAAAGCCATACCACAATGTAATGTGTAACACCACAGGGGTTCTAATCAAACCCAAACTAAACATGAACTATTGTTTTAGTGTTAAAACTAGCAAGCTCACATAATAAAATCCAAGTAGCAAGTCACTGGAGGAAAAGTTATTAGAAAAGAAAAGCTGATTATGTTAATTAAACAAAAAAATCTGCTTGGCAGACAAGAACAGCTTAGAAGCAAATAGATTTAAAATACGTATCTATTTCTCGGTGTTCCCTGGAGCACTCAAACACTAGTATGCAAGTATGTGTGCTCATGCATTTAGTCTTAAGGATTAAAGAATTGCTGGGTAAGTTGACTAAATCCAGGGAAGATTCAGTGGTCTTTAAAAATAAAATCCCATGTGTGTCCACAACGTTTTGTGAATAAAGCTCTGGAAGCAGAGAATAGAGACCTTATTTCTACTGGTTTTGACACAGCAGTATACACACAAATTAAAAACCTATTAGGCCTCAGATACCCCCTTTGTTCTGGAAAACTCAAAATAGCAAAAAAGATTCTGCCAGAGCAGAAGGCTCCAAAAGCCTATGAAGAGAAACCCCATCCATTAGAAACTAAGCTCCATCAGTACTGCTGCTACTCACTCCTTACTGAGTGTCAGGTAAAGAAAATATTTACTAACAATTCAAGTTTTCCCTTCACTCCCACAAACTCTTTTAACAACTCGATCCCTGTGTTGCAGAAATCCATTGAGAGAAATTAAGTTATGTCAAGAGTCAGGTTTTCATTAATTTAATTTCTTTTCAGACCTGAGTGGATAACCAAGAGACTTAGGGTGACTCCCACATACTTTCAGGAATTTATTGTACTTTCTCTTATCCTTCCCCCTAATTGAAATTAAACTGTTTTCAGAAAAGCCTTCAGTAATGACACATTAATCCCTGCATTTGATATTAACACCCATTTAAAGAAAAACTGCAGCGTATTTCATGGTAGTAATATTGAGAATAGTTACCTAGCAATTTTACTTACCATTGTAGACATACTACATTCTGAAACATTTAAAAAATGTCAACAAAAACCAAAATAATCAGACACAACATGAGTAGAGACAGTAATATTTTTAGGTGGTTGTCTGCTATTGAATAAATATTCAAGAATTTTCAACTCTTAAATATAATATTATCACAAAATGCTTTTATTTTTCTGAAATGATAAAATTAATATGGCTGTTTCCAAGTCACAGTTGTTGGTTTTATTTATTTTAGAGCAAGGACTTTCCAATGTAACCACATAGAACCAAAAACCAAAACCAAACCACGAATATACAGTGGCATTTAGTAATCTCTTATAACATTCTGCTGTGACCACGCGAATTTCCATTTAAGCATTGCTGCTTGATTACCCTTACAAAGAATAGCACAAGTATGGTAATAAAATTCGGATAATCAAACTGACTGAAAACATAGCAAGTGTAGTGCAGGATTGCCACAGACACATGACTGTTCAGTTCTTTTGGAGTTGTGCTAAATACAATTTCACATAGTTGTACAACCCTCTACTTAACCACTGTAGGTGCTAAAATGTGGTGAGTTTGTTTTAAATACCTATAGATACCATTTTGATTGTCTTGTACTTCTAAGATATGAATTATTGTGTTGAATAATGCATTCATTACTACAAATCTCATGAGCACAGTTTGCTTCATGAGACTTGTCTAGTGAATCTGAAAACTGCTTCCCCTCTTCTGACAGGAAAAAACAGAGACATGTAAGGTACTAAGAGTTTCTTTAGGCATTCTTCTTTATTTGTAGAAAGACCTACATCACATCTGTAATAATTTCTAAAGTCTGTATTTTCTCCAGAAAATATAATCTATCAGTGAAGATAATACCAAAAAATACCTGCTTTCATCATGTAGTAAGAATATAATGAACCAAGGGTAAAGTTTACTTTTGTGCAGTTTTCTCACATGTGGTACAAACCTCAGTTGCATATCCTGGATGTAAGTGGTGTGCAGAACATCTGTTGTCAATAGGAAATAGTAAATGCATGCTCTAACTTAGGGATGTATACTCTAGATTGGAGACACATCATTTGGCTCTCAGGGAAAACTACACTATTTAAGATGCAGTATTTGTTTGTCCTCAATAGGAGACTGTAGAAAACTTCCTCAAGGCTTTGCTAGGCTTCCTACCATTTTTAGTTTTCCAAGATATTAGACTTCTGATGGCATCAGCATTCTGACAGTGGTGGACATGAGTGTTAAATGATTGAGTAATAGTGTGTCTGAAAGGACTAGGACAGTAAAGAGATATTGTATAACAGTATAGTGGGAGGAGTGGGACCAGGAGTGGAATAGGGTCACATAAAGCAGTGGCAAAAGCCTGGACTCACTGGCTTTTGAAATTATTCTTTCTCTAAAATGATTAATTAAAAAAAAACATGACATACAAACAAGTTTTAAAATTATATGAAGATTATTAACATAATTACCAGGAATACAAAAAAAAACCCCAACACAAATACATTTCAAATTAATAGTGACAAAAAACATTAAAGGAGTAGAATATTTTCAAAGAAATTGATATGTTCGATATCTCTCCTTCCTGTAGCATTGTAGGTGAGTCCATGGCAAACACTGTTTTGCACCACAGAGTCTCTCCAAAAGGTTTACTCTCTCTCATCCACTGGACTTGCCTGCCCGTCAGACTCAGAATTGAACCTTTACTCATGATCAGTTTTCTTAGGCTCTCAGAAAGCAAAGATGCAAAGAGTGCTTAGAAAAGAGTTACCTCTCAACCAAAGGTGAACTGACGAAAAAGCTAATGGTAAAACAATTACTATTAAAACAAAACCACACATGCCTCAAGACTCAATCACTTTCACCTTTCAGTTTGCTTGGCTAAAAACATTCACACAGTGTCTACAGAACTGAACCATCTGTGTACTTGGAATCCGAGTCAGTTTTCATTATTCGATGATTTGAAACAACTGTAATCATATTGAATTCTTCTTTTAATTTTTAAGTGAAAGAAGATTGAGCTAAATTATTATCTTGTATGAGTCAGTGCTGTTAAGTTAAAAAAAAAAAAAGAAAGAAACCAAGCAAATTTAAAAACTTAATATTACAGTATGTGGCTATTAATGGCTAAGCCTCTGGCCATGACGAATCCAAAATTGTTTAACACAAGCAACAGGACACAGTAAGTAATAGCCAATTGCTTAACCCACAACCGCTTTGAGAACCACCTAGCTGAGTAGAAAAATAGTTCACAGGTTTGCAGAACATCTGCTTCTCTGTATTTCTAGGTGCATTACTGCAGGAATTCAGTTGAAGCAGAGCTACAAGCCATTTCTAGAATTAAATGTACAGTTATTAATTTCAGACATATAGTAGCGCAATCATCATTACAGAAAGGGAGCATAAAAGTGAAGGGAACATTTATTTAATTTGTATTTTCTGAAACATCATGGATTTCTTCAGCTATATAGAGCACTTAAAGGGTAAGCTCTGTATTACCAGCTTAATGCAATGCTATTTAAGGTGAATCTATGTTACAATTGCAAATATATAAAGTCACTTTACGCACAGCATGTGAGAAATATCTACCATGACAGAATTCAGACACAGTATATTTTCATCCTTCAAGATATTAATAAATTCAACCCCTTTTTTAAGACGCTCCAGTCTTGTAAATCAAGCCCCAGAAAAGCTGCAAAACTGAAGAATATATTGGCAAACTCCTTATCATTGCATCAGGTTATCTTCTTTCAATATCAAGAAAATTAAAAGGAATAGTTGAGGCACAAGTGATTTTTATGCAGAAGTATAGAAGTATTTCAAATAAGTAGACTAAAACTTCAGTACTTATTTTAACTTTCTTAAAAAAAGACAGAGATCATAGGTATATGATCACAGTAATAGATCACAGTTACTGCAGTCTTACTGGATTGCTCTTTTTTTTTCTAAGATGAAAAAAGAAATTGGCTCACAGAACTTGCCAAATCCACTTTATACTCCATTTCACATAGCTCATGTCTAATCAAAGCAAAGTACAAACCCGTGCTTCAGGGGAGTCTGAAATCATTCTGCTATACTTGACAGTAAACTAATTCTTCGGTAAAGACAACTTCAGTGAACCCATTCGCTCAAAGAAGAGTCCATCCAGCTGAACTGACATAAATGTTGCACGCAGAACTTAACATGAAAGTGCTCTGACAACAAGCTTTTGAGAATAAGTTCATATCATAAGAGTTTGTGCTTCAAACTACTTTTATAACTATGGTTATTGTTTCTGTTAAGAGGCACTGCATAAGTATGGAGTTATTCATCTAATGCACTTAATATTTCTCAGCTGAGGACTATTGCAGTTTTACCCTATGTCTAGGTGTGATAATACTTTGGTTTGCTTTACAACAGTAGCATTGCACTGGCAATACAGCTGATACTAAAGAGAAGGCTGAAAACTCTGCAGACTGGAGGACTGAAAAAACCCAATCTGCTCCCTTACTTCTTTTCATGCTTCTTGGTTAGTTTTCCTCTTTCTAGCTGGAGGCTTGTACTGTTTGTTCGCTTCTCCTTTTGCTGGCTCTCCTGGGAAACTTGCTGCACTGCTCGGAGGATAGCAGTCTGCACAATCTGCTTGCTGGCGTTCTGCAGCTTAACTTCATCTTGCTCCGTCCCTGGCTTCTCACCTGCCAAAGCCAAACAAGAAAGAAAAGGAACTAAGAACTTGGGACTACTCTGTGAAAACATGAAAGACAGAAAAAGAGAAGAGTAAAAATACCCAACAAAACAACCAAACCACAGAGTCCCTGGGGACAGTTTATTACATAAGAAACCTGCCAATACAGAAGACAAATTAGGGTAGAAAGTGCCCCTGTGTGCTCAGTGCTACAGGACTGAAAGAAGGGGGAGACTGAGTCATACAGCTGAGTTACCCACACCCCAGCTCTGGGGACAGCTGCAACTTCACAGCTGAAAAAAGCACAGATACATTTTGCAGTAAGACAGGAAATGAGGGTTTTCTCATCCAGCTGTTAATCACATCCTTTTTGACTTGAGCTGTGTTTCTGGACAGGGAACTGGATTTCAATTTGCAAGCCTGACATGTACTACACCACCTTACAGAAAAAAATCTGTTTCATTAACATTTCTGTTTACTATTACTTCAGATTAAAAGCCCTCATCCATCAAATTCTAACTGACTTCAACGTACAAAATTTTGTTAAGTGCAGTTTATTAATCCTTAGCTAGGTTTTCAAAGATATCTGCACAACATTAAAAAAAGCTCAGATTGCTATACGTAAAACAGAAAACACTTTCTATAGCAACCTGACAAATACATATTTCTTATGTGAAACTTCCTTGTTTTGCCAGAAAGTTTAATCTGGAGAACAAAAAAGTAATGTAGTGTGACTACTGACATTTGGTAATGAAGAAGAATAGTTTATGTTAAGAGGTTTCTCTTTAAGAGTGTTTTGATTCCTAACACAAATGACAATTCAGACAATAAAAAGTGCTCCATAACATTCAAAATTATCTTGATTAAAAAATATATATTCTGAATTAAGGTGATTTACACCTATTGGCATTTAGGAACTCAGTTGCCAATTGAAATTCTTAGCCTAGGTGCTTATTTACATCACTAGATTTAATTTTAAAGGTTTTAAAGGCACTGATCTCAGTTCTTTCTTAAATGACTGATATGGTCAAGCATTTAATTAAATAGTATGTGTATTTTACTGTCTTTTTTAATGACATGTATTAAGAATTACATCCTGAGAGAAATCAAACAGAGTGAATTAAAGGTCAGTTGCTTTTATGAGAGGTCCATATCTGGAACCGTGATAAATTCCCAATGTTCTTTCAGGATAAAAAGATAGAAACAGGATAAAGATAGAAACAAATGGAGAATCACTAGTTTCCTTAAGGAATACACTATTAAGATGTGATATGCTTGAGGTCCTGCACCTGGGTCAAGGCAATGCGTGACATCAATGCAGACAATGAATCGGTGCTGAATTTATTATGAGCAGCTTTCTGAAGAAGGACTTCGAGATAGCAGTAGACAAAATAGTGGAAATGAGATGGCCATGTCTGCTTGCAGCCCAGAAAGCCAGTTCTATGGTGGTCTATATAAAAGAAGAGAGGTCAGCAGGGCAAGGGAGGTGATTCTACCCCTCTACTCTGCTCCCATGAGATTCTGGAGTAGTCAAGGTCTGGGGTCCTCAGCACTGTAAAGACATGGACCTGTTGGAACATGGCCAGAGGAGGGCCATGAAGATGATCAGAGGGCTTAGATGACCATCCTATGAAGGCAAGCTGTGAAAGCTGGGGTTGCTCAGCGTGGAGAAGACAAGACTCCAGAGAGACCTTATTATGGCCTTTCAATACATAAAAGGGACTTGCAAGAAAACTGGAGATTTTTTACCAGGGCAAGTAAAAGGTCTGAAAGGACAAGGAGCAAAGGTTTTAAACTAAGATGGTAAATTTATACTGAAGGTAAAGAAGAAATTTTTTATGATAAGAATGATGAGACACTGGGAACAGCCTTCCCAGAGCTGTTGTGGATGCCCCATCCCTGAACACATTCAAGATGCGGTTGGACACGGCTTTGAGCAACCTGATGTAATAAAAGATGTCCCCGCCCACGGCAGAAGGGTTGGACTAGATGATCTTTGAAGGTTCTTTCTGACCCAAACTGTTCTGCGAGCCCAAAACAATGAGCTGCAAAACAATCAAAGCTTACTCAATGAGAAAGGAATAATTCATTATCTCCCACCTCTCTCTAAAAACAAATACTTATTTTTATCATGTTCATATTATACATGTTTTGCTTAAAAACAAAATAAAAATGTTGTTTAATTCTATTGAAACTGAATAATTAAAAGGAAATCCTGCAACTGTATTGTGATGACAAAGTTTGTCTATAATTAAGAGGTTAAAAATGTGAAAACTTAGAAAATATGCTTTAAACTGGAAAAGCTGACTGAAAGGAATCACTTGAATTCTTGGTACTATCAGCTTCCCTGATTCAGTTTTTCCCACTCCTTAGCACTTGAAACAGTGTTTTTTTGAATAAAATTCAATGTTACTTAACAGTAAAGTATAGATATTTCTTTATTACTCAAATATGAACTCAATTTTATTACACAATTGTAAGGTGATAAAAATTAATTAGTCTTCTTGCAGAGTTGATCAGTCAACTCAGCTGATGTTCAGAAGATAATATATTAACAAAAGCATAGATAAACATGAAATTCTAAATACAGATGAGTATGTTGTAATGGTCTATGATATTATGTGTAAAGTGAAAAATTTGCCAACCCCTAAAGCCATAAACCTCCAGAATTTATTGATGAAAAGATATTGTCATTAAGTACATTGCTGTTGAAAATGACTCAGTTTTCTTTCCTTAGGGATGCTTTGGCCCTTGCCACTTAATATCTGCAAAATCTGAATTTTAAATATTTTTACATGAGGAAGGTCATTCACAGCAACACCCAGCTGAAAAAAGGATAGTTTTCCAGTGAATTTCTATCTTTTTCAGTTGTTTATTTTGGAGTAAAACCCATCTGAAAGCACCACTCAGATAAGTGAGATGTAGTTTTCACCTGCTCAGCTTTAGATTAGCAACTTACTAGATGATTCTTTTATTTGCTGAACTAACCAAGAACAGAGAATCCAAAACCCCTGGACTACTTCTGCCCTGCCTCTGAGGGCTTAGATATGCACAGAAAGGAATTAAGGCAGCTCAAACAAATTTAATTTATATTTGTGTAACTTTAAGATAATAACAGCTAACTGGTTTTGGACATGGAGAGAGCCAAAGCTGTTGAAGTGGGGGTGATGTGACCAATGAGACCAGCTTCTGCTGACCATCTAAATTAGAAAGCAAGTGAAAATAATAGTTATTTTTGAGGGGGATATCTGGCACTGTGTAGAGGTCCAAGACTATTATGTGCAGAAGCTGGACTGCCAACCAGAATCCAGACATGTTAAGCAGTTCCCCTGGGTGTGCGTTATTAATTACAGCTGGCCCATGTGGACATGATGCTGGGAAAATGGTTCTATATTACCCTACTTGAGCAGGAGTTGGACAAGATGACCTCCAGAGGTCCCTTCCCACCATGAATTTTCTTCACTCCTGTGAGTCTAGCTGGTTAGGCTGCCTTTTTTCCACTTCCTGAAGGAGTAAACAGCCGTGTCTTGAAGAGCATTCCCACTACATTCTCTTCTTCCAATTGCTCATTTCAAGGAAATCACTTAGCTAGCTGTTTCTGAGAAGCTCATTTATTTATTGATATGCTGGACCTACTCTGAGGAAGAAGAAAGGAATTGACTAAGGAAAGCAGAGATGACTCATGCAAGAATCCCAAAGAGGCTGAGCTGGAACATATCTACCTTCACCTTGCTGAAATACAGACTGCTGTGGACATCAAAGCAGAAATTTGACTGCCTATAAAATTAATCAGGCATTTTAAGAACTGTCTTTTCAATCAGGTGAAACACATGTCACTCCTGCTGTCCAAGTATTTGGTGTTTTGGTAATCAAAATAAGAGTTATTGGGGTGATAACATACAATGAATTTTTATCTATATTTTTTTAAATTTGAAGAATAACTAGTTAAGTTAAAATTCTATGACAAATAGGTCACTTGAAGTAACTGCTGGGGAAAATTTGAAGGATATCAGAAGCAGCATTCTGTCTACTAATTATCCTTGTCTAAAGACTACTTTTTTTTCTATTGATATCAGAAAATCTTTTCTACTTACTCTCTATCTTTAGATGCTCACCTGACACACAGGAACCCAGCACCTCAATTATGTAAATAGAGAACTGAAATATCCAGGTTAAGTGATGTTAAATGCAAAGCAGTAATTTATCATTAACACCTGACAAAGTGTCTTTAGCATGTTTTTATTACCTTATCTTTCACTTGGTAAATTTTATGCCAACAAACACAGAAGATGAAAATTAACTTTCAAACTCTGGTCTGGTTCTGCAATCTAAAGTTTAGTTTGAGGGATCCAAAAAACCCTCAAAATCTTGGACTGGCTGCAGGAATCAGTCACATATTCCACTTTCAGCTAAAACTAGTCCCATAGATCAGTGCCTTGAAATTCCCTTAGCTTGCTTGAGGATGTTCCCCAAAAAGGAAAACATGCTAGCAGTTTGGAAAAAGAATAAAAGTATTTGAATTAAATTCCAAGTATTCATTTCAATTAATAGAACTAATATTAGTTTAAGTTCAAAAACATCTAGTGTGGGAGAATTTGCATGCTCTGTGATGTTTCTAGACTATGGAATACCCACAGAAAGGTATACATAGAAAAAAATAGGTACAGAGAAAAAACTTTTGGCAGAACTTCACTCTGGTTGCACATGAGCCTTTTCTCATTTATACAGTTCACTTTCTTCAAAGCATCCCAAGTCATTTTCTTTCCAGCCCACAATCAAAGTACACTTTCTGTTGATATCCCCTGTGGCTTTTCCCTTTCAGCTTGCTACAAATTTATTATGCCTTATAAACACTCCTACTAAATAACACTCAACAACAGGTAATTTGTTTGAATCAGCATCTAAGTTCTCTACTGTATCTTGTCATAGGATTGTTTGGAATATTATCATGAAACTGAACTACCACAGGCATGACCTTGCAAAGATGCAAGTTCATCCCAGATCCAGTAA